TCCTTGGAGCTATCGAGCTCCTTGGTGAGCTGTCGAGCTCCTTGGAGAGCTTTCGAGCTCCTTGGTGAGCTGGCGAGCTCCTTGGAGAGCTACCGAGCTCCTTGGTGAGCTGCCGAGCTCCTTGGTGAGCTGCCGAGCTCCTTGGAGGTAACCGCCATGCACGTTGACCAACTTCCGGAATGTGGGCCGGCCTCCACGTATCGTGGGGTATGCATGCCGAGTTTATCGGTGGGCACGTCTTATGGGTTGCCATGTCAGCCAGGTCGGATCATGTGCCGGGCTGATCCAGGTCGGCTAGGTCGGATCATGTGCCAGGTTGATCCAGGCCGCGTCAGGCCGGTGCCTGGGTGGGACCAACTTGGTAAGTTGTTGCCTAGGTGTCGCCTAGTTGTCACGAGGTGCCACGTGTCGCAATTTCATAGGAGGGCCAAATCTGCCCTCATCATTTGCCCCCCACTCCCGAGCTGAGAGTAACTCAGTGAAGGGAGTATTTCTTCTTTTGGCCTGTAAGTCGACGAGGTAGTAAGTATCGATCCAATTCCTTAGGCCTTGGGAGTCGTCTGTGTGTGGCGAGCTGTCTGCAAGTAGCGAGTTGCCTATAAGGTGAGGAGGTCTCCGCCAGTTCAGTAGTGTAGCCCTTAGGCTCTAGGGGCAACTTATAGTTCACTTTTTGCTGATTTTGCCCATGCTGAGGAAGCAACTAGGTATTTAGCAATAATGTGGCCCATAGCCTTTGGGAGTGACTTGTAGTCCACTCTTCTTGACTTTGCCCATGCCGAAGAGGCGATCGGGTCTTAAGCAGTAATGTGGCTTGTAGGCTTTGCCTGTGAGGTGTCGAGCTACCTGTGGTGTCGGGCTGACCAGGTGCCGAGCTGACTAGGTGCTGAGCTGCCTGAGGTGTCGAGCTGACCAAGTGTCGAGCTACCTGTGAGGTGCCGAGCTGATCAGGTGCCGAGCTACCTGAGGTGTCAGGCTGACCAGGTGCCGAGCTACCTGTGAGGTGTCGAGCTGACTAGGTGCTGAGCTACCTGAGGTGTCGGGCTGACCGGGTGCCGAGCTACCTGTGAGGTGCCGGGCTGACCAGGTGTTGAGCTGCCTGCGAGGTGCCGAGCTACCAGTGAGGTGCCGAGCTGACCAGGTGTCGAGCTACCTGCAAGGTGCTGAGCTACCAGTGAGGTGCCGAGCTGACCGGGTGTCGAGCTACCTGTAAGGTGCCGAGCCGATCAGGTGGGTGCCTTAGAGCTATGATTGCACAGCATCAGCTTCGTAATGCCGGTCACCCACTCCTACAAGAAGCTACTAAGAGCTCGACCTTCGGGGGCAGCACTACTAACTTTAGGTCGCCAGCTCACACGGGAGCCTTGGAAGGCTCGACCAGTAAGGGCGCCTTTGTAGTCTGTTAGCCACCAACTCCCGCGAAAGCCACGAAGAGCTCATCTTTGTAGGGGAGACCTTGCGAAGAAGACTGATGAGGTTTTAACTGAATTGAAAGTAAACTTAGTCTGTTAGCTCCCTGCGTAGTCTTTGAGTTCATAAAAAATGTAAAGTATAAAGCGAGAGCTTCAATTTCTAAAAAGTGAGGACTTAGCTTTCTGGGAGAAGAGGACTTAGCTTTCTGGGAGAAGAGGACTTAGCTTTTGTAAGATGAGAACTTAGCTTTTGTAGCGTGTTCTCACAGACGGCGCTAATTGATGTAACCGTTTCTGGTCACATACCAATTTTTTGTGATGTATCAATTTTTTTTGGCTAAGTACCTCATCATTTAGCCTAGTGGTGAAGTGCCTGGTGACGAACTGCTTGGTGGTGAGCTACTTGGTGATGAACTCCCTGGTGGTGAGCTACCAGGTGACGAGCTACTTGGTGACGAGCTCCCTGGTGGTGAGCTGCCTGGTGACGAGCTCCCTGGTGACGAGCTCCCTGGTGGTGAGCTGCCTGGTGACGAGCTACTTGGTGACGAGCTCCCTAGTGGTGAGCTGGTGGCGAGCTACCTGGTGACGAGCTCCCTGGTGGTGAGCTGCCTGGTGATGAGCTCCCTGGTGGTGAGCTACCTGGTGACGAGCTCCCTACTCCTAGGTGGCCTGTGACTCAGAGAATGGTGGAGCTCCCTGGTGATCTTCTCTCTGATTGTAGAGAGCTTTAAGATGATATTGGAGAAATGAAAGAGCTAGAGAGCAGGGATTACCTCCATTTTTTCCATTCCCCTCCCCCTTGGCTTTAGGGGTCGGAGTCCTTATATAGTGGTGCCCAGTCACATCAGGCGTAACTGCCACTACCCAAGCCATTACTATCAGGACTGAGGTGACAGGTGCAGGCTGCTGCTGCAGGGTACGGACTCATCGGGCGTGCCATGCTTTTCAGAGATGGCAAGCACGACACCGCTTGGCAAGAGATGTGGGCGCTGCCACCAGATCTGTCAAGTACGGTTGTCAGGCAGGAGACCTTCCTGCGATATGTCGAACTGCTCTTCTGTACCGAGCTACCCTGCAAGTGGCGAGTTGCCTATGGCGACGAGCTCCCTAGTGGCTACTTGGTGACGAGCTCCTTGGAGAGTTGCCGAGCTCCTTGGAGAGCTGCCTAGCTCCTAGGAGAGCTGTTGAGCTCCTTGGCGGGCTCCTTGGAGCTGCCGAGCTCCTTGGTGAGCTGCCGATCTCCTTGGCGATCTCCTTGGAGAGCTGCCGAGCTCCTTGGTGAGCTGGCGAGCTCCTTGGAGAGCCGCCGAGCTCCTTGGTGAGCTGCCGAGCTCCTTGGAGGTAACCGCCATGCACGTTGACCAACTTCCGGAAGGTGGGCCGGCCTCCACATATCGTGGGGTATGCATGCCGAGTTTATCGGTGGGCACGTCTTTTGGGTTGCCAGGTCGGCCAGGTCGGATCATGTGCCGGGCTGATCCAGGTCAGCTAGGTCGGCCAGGTCGGATCATGTGCCAGGCTGATCCAGGTCGCGCAGGCCACGCCAGGCTGGTGCCCTGGGTGGGACCAACTTGGTAAGTTGTTGCCTGGGTGTCGCCTAGTTGTGATGAGGTGCCACGTGTCGCAATTTCACTGGAGGGCCAAATCTACCCTCATCAACTAATCCAAAGTTTCTTGCAACCATTCAAAAACTAGGTGGCCTAATGAGCTTTGGAACTTCATGTTTGAACTAAGTCAGTTCGGTTCGGGTCGGTTTTGGTTTTCTTGTGTGAAAATCGAAACGACCCGAATCATCGATTTAGGAATTTGCACAACCCGAAACCAACCGATGCTAATGAAAACCCGGCCGACTCGGGTTGGGTCGATCTGGGTTGGTCAGTTTGGTCGGGTTGGTAGGTTCTCTCATTCATCGCTAACCATTAACTAGGTCGAGTTGGTAGGTTCTCTCATTCGTCTGAGTAGAGACCTGGGATCAAATCCTGCTGCCACCAAGGGTTGGAGGGTTAAGGGAAAGGGGATGGGCTACCCCCTGTTGTGTAGCCCCATGAAGCGAAAAATAAGTAAAAAAAAAATCATTAACCAGGTCGAACAGTTGGACGGTTAATTGTCTGGGTCAGCATTTTTTTTTCACCAATTCAATGGGGCTTTTTCAAAATAGTGGCTCAGGGCAAAAACAAAACCAAAAGCATGACTAGTTTCCAGGTCAAACGATTCGATCGCCCGGGTCAATGACATTCTTAAAACACTAGTTGCAACTAGACCTATTCATGGGCCAGGCTGGGTAGGGCTTTTACTCTTTATAAACAAGATTTTGTTAGGCTCGAAGCCTGAGCCCAAAGTTCGACCTAATAGAAAGATGGGGATTTTTCCCTATTCAAATGGACATAATCCATTTTAATTCATATGGTTTTTTTTCCTATTCAAATGACCAACGGGCCTACAAGATGGTTTTTCCCTTTCTTTTACATTTTAAAACACCATTTTACATTCTTAAATAAAAAAAACTATTCAAATGGACATAAACATAATCCATTTTAATTTCATTTTTTTTTCTTACAATCAAGTGAATCAACAACATTCTTTAAGGTTGTTTAATATATTCCCAGTTGTTTGATTGTTTATATACAACCAAGGCAAAGCTGAAATAAAACACATAATAATCATTTTAACTCCTACAAAGAATCCATTTTAATTCCATTTTTTTCTAACAATCAAATAAATCAACCTTCTTTAAGGTTATTTAATATGTTCTCTATTGTTTGGTTGTTTCTATACAACAAAGGCAAACCTGAAAATAAAACATCTGAGACAAGGAAAACCTAAAAATAAAACACATGAGACCAAATCATATAGCTTCATATTCCTACAAATAGCATGACACACTAAAACTAAATGGGTTTCTAGCATATAAGGGCAACTTTTGGGGTTTAATATCAATAAAAGTAATATATTTAAAAAAAATCAAAAATATGTTAACTTTTTAAAAGTAACAACAATAAAGGGCAAAAATACTATTCATCTTCTTCTTCTTACCATTTGTTCACCAAAGCCGCCACCCGCCACCATTGTCCGCTGCCACCCGTCGCCGCCTCCGACAACGTTGCCAGAGGTGGCCGAAGACAAAGGTGGCAGCAGCAGCGCTGGTGGTCATTCCTCTGCCCGCCGCCGCCGCCATCTCTATCTCCACCCATCTCTGGCAACGTTGCTAGAGGTGGGCGGAGGTGGTGACATTGGACAGAGAAACCACTAGTGTCGTCGCCACCACCTTTGCCTCCGACAACGTTGTCGGAGGCGGAGGTGGGCACAAGCGGCGACGGGCGACAACGGACGATGGTGACGGGTGGTGGCAGGCGGCGACGGACAACGGATCTAATGAACAAATGGCAAGAAGAAGAAGATGAACAATGTTTTTGCCCTTTATTGATATTATTTTAAAAAGTCAACCTACTTTTGAATTTTTTTTAAATATATTACTTTTATTGATATTAAACCCTAAATGTTGTCCTTATGTGCTATTACCCCAAATTAAATTCATGTAACTTTATATTCCTCCAAAATCATAAAAAAAAAATCTAAATAAGACAAACAAAATCCATAAAACATGTTCTCCATTCATTCTTGAATTCACCAACAAGATGGAATATTCCAATTCTTAAGTTTCAAACCATTCTAAAAAATAAAATAAAAGACCACTTCGTTGTTCATATCAAACAAAACATGTTTTAGCCATATCTATTCATTCTTGAATTCACCATTAAGATTGAACATTCCAACTTCCAAGTTCCAAACCATCCTACAAAAGAAAATAAGAGATAAACTCATTACTCATATCACATATGTAATTTGTTATCATGTCAAATGGCAAATAAATAATTGAAATTTATGTTGTTATAATACCTAAAACATATCATCAAGTGCAGCATTTTCATTATCCTGATGAAGCCCCTAACAAACTTGATCCTGATGAAAACTTGATCCTGATGAAGCCCCTAACAAGCCAGGTCCCCCTTCATACAATTGGAAAATCTATTAGAAAAAAATTCAATAAATCATATATTTTAATAAGCAATAAATAAAAAAATACCTAATACAAAGCCTTGTGCATAGAGCCAATCTTTAAGACAAACCAAAGCTTGAACTGTCTTGGATTTAAATAAACTTTTTCAAAGATTGATCACTTTCTTTCCAATGCTAAATGCAGATTCATATGCAACTATGGAAATAGGAATAGCCAAAATATCTTGAGTCATTGATGCCAATTCAAGATACCCAAGTGAACTCTTATTTCAATACTCCAAAACATCAACATCTGCATTGATATCAAAGTTTTGTTCCTCCAAATAAATGTTAAATTGAGTTTTTTCGCTTTGAATCTTTCTTTTTGAATTTAAAAATTGTTCATAATCCTCAATTCCGTCATCATCATCATTTCTGGCACTCATGTCAAACTGACTAGAATATCCAATAAAAGAGGTAGAGAAAAAATTTTATTTGTATTCATCAAACAAATCATGAAAAGTTTTAATTATAGCATTAACATGCTCATCGGCTCCACTAACCTAATCTTGCAACGAGGATCCAACACAATAGCACAAGACAAAATCATACTATATTCAGCCTAATATTTATCAAATTTCTCCTTCATATTTCTAATCATGCCAATCATAAATTTCTGAGATTTCTTACTCACTAACATTAAATGTCTATGAATCATCCACAGTCCCTTGAAGTAAATGTTTAAAGTATGGTAATTAGTGGCAGGAAACATGCAAGTAACATTATAAAAAACCTTTAAATTTTGTAAAACTTATCCACATTTCCCTGTTCTTCTTCCGAAAGCATAAATATTTTGAAAATATTACCATTTTGCCCCCAACGTTGTAAGAGTTACTTATAATAGATGACATGTTCAAACATCAAATAAGTTGAATTCCATCTCACACACATATCTAACATCAATCTTCTAGTTGTGTTTAAGTGAACTTTTTTTAACAAATTCATAAAATCTATGCTTCCGAGAAGTTGATTTCTTTATATTTTTCACATCATTATGAATCTTAGTAACAATATCATCAACAATGTTCAAACCAACTTGCACAATAAGATTCAAAATATGGCTACAACAACGAACTTTGAAAAAATCACCACCACACTAAAGATTTATCTATTAAATATCTCAATTTCAAAGAGTTAGTCATTACATCATTGTAATTACCATTATCTAATGTAATGCTAAAAATTTTCTGATCAATATTCTATTTGCTTAAACACATGGCCACCTCATTTGCTAAAGATAATCCATCAAAAGAATGTGACAAAACTTTAAAGCAAATAATTCTTTTTGTCAATCCAATGAACAGTTATACACATGAATTCATCATCAGTGTGCTCAGATCTCCAATTATCAAAAGTTAAATAAATTCGACCAAGTGTATTAGATAAATCAATTTTCACACCATCTCTCTCTTTCACATAGTAAGACACGATATCTCTTTTAGCAATATGCCTACTTATATTTTTAAATTTAGAATTTATAGATTGAATAAAGAATCTAAAATCAAGTTCTTCGACAACAGTAAAAGGGTGTTTTCCACATATAAGAAAAACTGATAATGCCCTACGAAACTCTTGTTGATCAAACTTGTAGTTTTTAAAAGAAATACTCCCATCAGTATTTGATTGAGTAATTATTCTGTACTATCTAATATCTTGAATTGTACGTCTAGGGCAACACTCTAAATGATACTTCAAGTGAGTAATTCCCTTATTTTACTTACCTTGTAAGATTTTCTTACAGTGCTTACATTGTGCCTTCTCCGAATTAATATTTTCCATTTCTTCCCACACCTTAGATGTCAATCTTTTCTTAGTGAAAGTCTTGTCAAACTCTTGATAGTCATCGTCAACTATATCTATTCCTGCAGCCACACCTTCACTTGCCATTGACATGCTAGTAATTATTAAATTTGAAATAACTTGCATAATGCATTCTAATTTTATCAATATGACAAACATATATTAAATAAAAAACTAAAAGAAAAACAATTTATCAAAATAACTAAAAGAAAAATATAGTCAATTTTATCTACTAAGAAATAGATGTGACCAAGTCAACAACATATCTATGAGAAAAAGTGAAAAAAATAGGAAAAAAAAAAAGAAAAAGCACAAAATATATCCATTTTTATGTATTAGATCAATCATGGAACAGTTAACTAACTCAAATGGTATATAGATCAATTTTCTATAAAGATATATTATATAAATTAATTATTTTATTTACATTAAAAAAATTAAATATAAAGTTGAATTTAATCTAAATTCTGAATTCAATATAAATTCAAATTTTATTTACATTAAAAAATAAATTATAAAGTTGGATTCATTATAAATTCAAAATTTATTTACATTAAAAAATTAAATATAAAGTTGGATTTAGTATAAATTCTAAATTCAATATAAATTCAGAATTTTTTTACATTAAAAAAATAATATAAATTCAACATAAATTCTGAATTTGCAAAAAATAAAAATAAAAAGGAAAACCAATTGCAAACTTGCAACATTACCAAAGCCAAAATACAATGTTTTTTCTTTAGGAATTAGGATAATCAAATCTAACAGTTTCAGCACTTTTGAAAAACTAAGCCAATAAATGTGCAGTGAATCCCTAATGCATCAGGTTGTTTTTACGATTCCCTAACAAATCCCTAATAGCATTCAAACAAACAATAGCATTCGGATTTAGGACAAACAATAGCATTCGGCTATGTAAACACTAAATAATAATTTTGTAATACAACAAAATGGCAAAGATGACTCACCGCCAGTGACTGTGCTCGCCGGTGCTGAGTTCGCAGTGAGCTACGATTTTGACAGTGAAAAGTGGAGTCAGTTCGCGTTTGAGTGAGAGAGAGAGAGATGATTCACCGCCGCCGCCAGTGCTTGTGTTCGTTGCCTCGCCAGTGTCTAAGATTTGAAAGAGAAGAAGTGAGAAGATGAAAGAGAGAGAGAAAGAGAAGACTCACCGCCGGTCTGCCAGAGTTGTTGCACCGATGAGTGTTCACCGATTCTGCGGCTGCCTGAGAGTGTGAGGAGGATGTGAATCACTGTGAAGAGAAGAGAGGTTTAGCAGTTTGGCAAACTAGAAAAGTGGAAAGAGATGAATGAGAAAGGTTACTTAGGATATTAGGGTTTTTGGGTTTAGTCTATAGGTCCAACCGGGCCAGGCTCGGGTTAGGCTATTTTGGCAAATCCCGAGCCCGGCTTGAATTTATTGCAGGTCGGGCTTTTGGCCCGAGGTCAAGCCCATGGGCTCAATTGCAAGTTCAAGCCCATCCGGGGGCCAAGCCCGCCCATCGGGCCACCCAGCCCATGAACAGGTCTAGTTGCATTTCAGAAATTCTACAGTCATCATATTTGACTCTTGAAGTTTCCTCAAACCATTTTCTTACCTCGTAATTGCCACCATCTTGATGCATATAGGAGGACAAGAAAGATATTATTTGTTTTTTAAAGTTAGAACCTTTGATTCCTCCTTGCTTACGGAACACCATAAGATAATTGTATTTATCGAGGCTAGGGAAAGAAAGAGAAATTTCCATGGAATGGCATGACACCTTTCAAAAAAATAATGTATTAGGGAAGTTGCAGATGCATGAAGTGATTGGATTCAGCATGGTAATTTCTTTTAACGTTGGTGATCAGCACAGTACCTATCAATATCACCCAGATCACTCTCAAAAGATGAACGGAAAAACAAAATCACTACTTTATCACAAAGAAGTGGATCAATAAATGGATCTTGTGTCTTTGACATCAACAAATGGGTCAACATGTTAAGCCTAATAAATTAATAATAAGAATCCTGTTCAACCTCACAGTCAGCCATATTAATATTTCAAACTCACACTATGTGTCAAGTGATTAATCACATTACCATAAGTCACATGGTCGGTGTTGCATGCATATTGTTGGTACTAGTTCCAGGTGCTAAAAAGACAAATTTAAAACACACGTATTAATAATAATAAAGGCAACAATAACCACTTCCTAATTTATAAAACCAACAGCTTAACCAAATTTTGTTTCAGTTCTGAAAATGAAACTATTGTTATCAAGTGATTTAGCAATTTCCAAGCAGATATATGAAGCCAAATACTCCAAGAGGTTCAGTTAAAACACCTATTTCCAAATCAGGGCCAGCATAGTAGAAGAGTATGACAAAATGCACACACAATAAAAGATTTGAAGAAACAACTAATTTGAATATATCTCTGTTCAATTATCATTAAACCAGTAATGCATATATCAAGGAAATATTGTCCTATGTATTCATGTATACATTGTATTGTCACGTACAATACAAAGGGTTCACATTTCACAATGCCAGTTCAACTTGATGGTACATGAAAACTGCAAGAATTTTGTTCCTCCTGACCTTGATTCAAATAAATATCCAACATGAACAATTCATGAACACACTTTTGGCAGGTCATGAAACTGCCAAAGTTGACATGTTCCTTCTGGTTGTGATCAATCCAAATATCAATTTAGACCAGCAAGTGATATAACGCCTATTGCACTGCTTATTCTGATAGAGAGGAATATCAAATAAAGCACTATGAGGCCCACACCCAACAACCTGCTAGGGCGCATGTCATTCCGAGGTAGAACAATGAGTGCCCAGAAAAGTCCCGACATGAGAAACCCCATGGTATAAAACAAGCTACTATCTTGGGGAACCAAGTAAGATGCAGGCTTCTTTGACCAGGCTCCAAGCAGCACTGAGATCCCCAAACCAACAAGTGTGTTGAACATGGGCCCTGCATAGCATCCTGACAAAGCAATCTGCACACCATCCCCACCATTCATTGCCAGTGCGACATTTGACATCAAATCACCCATTGAATTGCCCCAGGCCAACACAGTTAATCCAAGTATTGATGGGTTGATTCCTAGAATTACACCAAATGCCACTAAGAGGGCAACAAGTTCATTGGCAACGATGTAGAACCAAATGATACTCATAACAAAACCCCCAAAAACCCATGGAAATAAGAACTTGCGAGGTGGCTGATCAGTTCGGGTGAAGAGAAAGGCAAGAACACCAAGTGTACCACCCACCAAAACACCTGCGACATATGCAATTTTTCTGCTTTGAGAATCCACATTATCTTGAGTATTCCACAGAAATGCCAGAAGCATGGGAGCCAATGAGGCACTGGAGACTGCATACACTTTGGACCATCGTTGCTCCTCAACTATTGGAATTGTCAACCTTCTCGGGAGTGTTAAAGGCATCTCCAACAGAGAAAATATTTTAGAACAGGAAATGAGTGAACGGTCATCAATATCACTTACTTCATCAGTCCATCCCCACAAACGCCTTGGGCTATCTAACTCATTAATCCTCGATGTCTGATTTGAATAAATTGCCACATTTGAAGCCCACATCCACTGTGGTAAGGTAGTATGAAGGTGTGGTGGATCACTCTCAGATTCTATGTCCAGTAGTGAGCTGTAAATAGATTCATCTTCCTCACTTCCTATGGAAAAGATACTCCCTCTGACTGGAAGCAATGGCGTCACAGCATCCAGCTTTAACCTGCGGGCATGTTTCCTCAAGATCTCATTTGCAGCAACAGAAAAAGCATAAACAATATAGACCGAGACGAAGGCAACTGCTCCACCAACACTCACTTTACCAATTATCAAAATTAGTAAAAGTGACACAAGGGTGAGGAGGAAAAAACAAATATCTCTGATAAAGCATCTCCTATCAATTTGAACCCTCTTCTCTGCAACACAAAGCGAGACAGTCCCAACAACAACGCAAGTAACAAAAACAGCTCCACCCAGAACACTATTGAGACCCACCTCACCTGCATCCGTGCCCACAAAAGCGGCAATGCTAGCAAACACATCAGGAGCTCCATTTCCAAGAGGGAGTAGAGAAACACCAGCAACCGTTGGGGGAAGCTTCAAGAGACTTGAAAGCTTCTCCAAGGAACAACAAAAGTAGTCAGCTGCAGTATTACCCAACATATAGAATAAAGCAAGAAGCCATGTGCCCAAGACGGCATACCCCAAGATCCTAAAGTTTTGACAGTCGCAGTAGAAGAACACAATGTAATTAAAGAATCCATCTGATGCGCACTGCGGTTGAGATTTCACGTACTCACATTGGCTGGCGTAACCCTCGTGTTCCAATAATCCACTGCACACTGATGGATTGTCTGCCGTCATATTATTCTGGATTTCACCATCAGTACCGACCAGATAATTCGACGAATTAAGACCAGTTTCAACGATTCTCCTGTGAATGACCTCGGAATGACCCTTTCGGTCATAAAAATCGCCTCTTGAGTTCCACTGAGGAGGAAGAGTAGAAGGCAACTGCCTGAGGAAAGGATTCTTCGGAATATCTTTGCGATTGTAGAAGAAGAAAAACACCACCAGAGTACAGAGAAAATTAAAAAATCCACGAAATCGACGGCCCCTCGTTCGATAAAAATTGTTCGGTTCTGCCATTTCCCCCTTCTTGGGGCCTCCAGCCCTAAAATTCTGAAGTATTATTCAGGGATGCATGAACTCGAAAAATCCAGAAATCTAACCTCAAAAATCTCAATTGCCAAACTGGTAGACCTTCAACACAAATAGGATTTTTGTTTCTATTCACGCCCGATGAAACCCTAACTTTCGATTCAGTAAGGAACAAAATAAGGATAAAAGGCAATGTTAAATTACCGATGGAAGAGATTATCTTAACCTGGAATAGGATAACCAGAAACAGATCATAAATTCGAGGAAAGTTTGTCGTTTATAGGCGTAGGAAGGGTTTTCCGAAGGGGGATTAAGGTATCGAGAAGGTACCTGAAGCCTGAAGGAGACAGCTGAAGAAGCTCCAATGAAATAATCTGCTAATTCTTCTCCTTCTTCCGGTCTTCCCTCACCAGCCGGCCATACCGTGTATCGTCTACTCAACTTAAAAGACTTTTTGGAAACAATCTATATTATATACTATAAATTATATAAATAAAAGTGTAATGTAGTATGAAATTTTTTTATTAAAATTATGTTTTAGAAAAAGTATAAAATTCATTTTATTATAATCTTATTTGTGTATTAAGTATTGAAACTTCAATTATTATTTTTAATTTCATTTAATTCCCTCTCATTAGGTCTTAATTAATTAAGGTATTAAATCTTATATTTTAATTTATTTTTACTAATAAATACTACTAATTAGATGTATATCAATATTATTAACAATATAAATCCATATATTTTAAAACTAACTCAAAAATAAATCCATATATTTTAAAGCTAACTCAAAAACAAAATCATTCTTTATTCAAGTGGTGGTTAGAGGTGATCATGGGTCGGGGCAGGGCCAGGCTTTGCACTTATGATAAGGGCTATAGCTTAGGCACGGGCCTAAGCCGGAACGGGTCAAATTCTGGGCCAATGTCTTTCATATATATAAAACATTACATATCTATAATATTTTATATTAAATGACATAACATGCATATAAACTTATTTTATACATTATATAATATAAAATATTATATATCTATATATTAAATGACATAACATGCATATAAACTTATTTTATACATTATATAATATAAAATATTACATATAATATAAATTATACATGCCATGCTATAATATTTATATATAAAATATATAATATAATGTAAAATAACTTGTATACATTATACACAAAATGTGTAAGTTTAAATATATATGGGTTGGGTCGGGCTTGAAATATTAAGCCCAAGCTCGACCCTAAAATTTGAAGGCCTAATGTAGGCCTGGGCCGGGCCTGAACACAAAACCCAGGCCCAAGCCCGGAATTTCCTAGTCGGGCCGGGCTGAAATGATCACCCCTAGTGGTAGCTAAGGAATTCAACCATCTAATCGAATTGGTTAACCTATGAAGTCATAGTTAGGTAATAAAATTTTTAAAATAGAAATCAATATAAAAATTGCAAAAATTTAGAAAAAAATTATACACATTAATGATATTTTATTAATCAAATTAAAAAATAAGTGTAATAAACATGAATTATTTTTATTAATAATGAAATAAAATACATAATTTAGAAGTTAGAACTGACCAAACATGAAATATAAAAATTAATAATATATAGTTTGACTTTGGGTTTAATGTGTTAACCTTTAATGCCATAAATAAATAATAAAACATAAAAATACATAAATTTTGTAAAAAAACATGCAAGCACATGTATAATATCATGTATTTATCATATTAAACAAAAGTAAGTATGACATGTTAGAATTATTTTTACACACAAAAATACAATATATATATATATATATAAATTTTTAAACGCATCTATAATTCTATATTTACACTACTATTAAAAATATAAATAAGATTGTGAAACTTTCTTTTGACTAAAATCAAGGTTTTAAAAACTGGCCCAAAAATAGAACCGCTTTGACTTTTGGTTTCTGAGTCAATGGTTCAACCGTCCAATTTGAGCATGTCAAATCAGTAAGATGTAAAATATAATGTAACTTTTTTATTTTGACGATTATGTTAGGATTAAGTTTAAGTCCATCATATATATACATTAATGAGAGGGGAGTGTGAGACTTTGAGGAGTAGGGGTGATCATGGGTCGGGCTGAGATAGGCCCGGACTAGGTTTGCACTTATATAGGCTCAGGCTTAGCTCAGGTTTATACGGGTTGGGCCTGATTTCGGGCCTATGTCTTTCATATATAAAACATTACATATATATAATATTTTATATTAATGGCATATAACATGCATATAGACTTATTTTATACATTATATAAAATAAAATATTATATATAATATAAATTATACATGTCATATTATAATATTTATATATAAAAAAATGTGTACATATATATATAAACATTATACACAAAATGTGTATGTTTAAATATATGTAGGCAAGGTCGGACCTGAACACGAAACACTGGCCCAAGCTCGGAATTTCCAGGGTGGGTCGGGCTGAAATGATCACCCCTAAGAACGAGGCGGACGGTTAAAGTTGAAAAGTGAGAAATAAAGAAAGAGAAGAAGAAGAAAAACATGGTTTTCAAAATCAGACCAGACCAGACGGTCGAACCAAAAAAACTGGGAAACCAATTTGATCTATTTTACCCTAGAACTATTATTTCGCCAAAAACTGTTGATTTGGTCAACAAACCGCTGACCTAGGCAATCAAACCGTCTGAACCGTTCAATGGTTTGACCATTTTTATTGTTTTTATTTTTTTGTCAGAATAGGCCATCCGTTCAGTTCGAACAGTCATACCGTTTGACTCAGGGAACTGGACCCTTGATTGGTTCGTTGTCCGATTCGGTTTTAAAAACCTTGAAGAAGAAGAAGAAGAAGAAGAAGAAGAAGAAGAGAAAGAAGTGTCATCGGAGGTGGTTGTCACCATGTTGTAGAATTGTTTGCCCTAAGAAGAAGAAGAATGAATTGGCAGCGACGACTATCTCCTTGTTCATTGTCACTGACGCTACAACATCGCTTGCCCTCTTCTTAATTTCTCTAAATCTTTCTTAAATCCCAGATCATTTGCTTTATTGGAGTATCTTAGGTTTTAATATAAGATCAATGTTTAATCTCCCATCACTTGCATCAATTTTTCAATTTCTTCATTGGAGTTACTTTTTTTTTTTTGTTGTTATAACTTAAAAAGAATCACACAAATGAGAAAACTCAAAATCAAAATGGAATAACTAATAACCAAACTAATTTTGGCCATTGGGAATAATCAAACAAGATTTTGAGATATGAAAGTTTATTTTATCATTTTTATTTTATAATTTATATTTTTAAAATATATAAAAAATTTGGAATTAGTTTGAAAGCAACCTATGAACCATTAACCATGTTGAACATTTTAATGGTTAAATAGTTCGAATCAGCAGTTCCTTGACCATTTCAACGGCTTTTTGTAAAATAGCGGTTCAGAGCCAAAATGGAACTGATGACTTGACCCATTTTTCGGGCCAAATAGATCGTTTGATCTGGTCAGATTTTTAAAACATTGACTAAAGTACTCATTTTTTTGAATTTAGTCCCTATTTAATTGTAAGGTTTAAATTGTCAATTGAACTACTACTTTTCATCTCATTCAATTCCTTCTATTTAAATCTTACTTTTTTTTTATAAATGAACAAAAGAAAAAAGATAACTATATCTATACTATATATAAAAGTGTAAATGTAGTTTTTGGATTAAAATTACCCTCTATTTCTTTGTTTGATAAATAGTATGAAAGTCATTTTATTATAGCTTTATTGCCAACTTTTGATGGCTATTAAAATGCACATATTTGCTTATTTATTACATCTCTAATCGTAAGGATGGAAAATATATTACTTTCCACCTTATTTAATCCCCTTTCATTAAGTCTTATACTTAAAGTTATTAACTCCCATTTTCTCTTATTAAATCCTATATTTAAGTTATTTTTCACCAATAAATTATTTAAGTTATGTCAATATTTTTAACATTATGAATCCATATGCTTTAAAACTAGCTAAAAAACAAAACCATTCTTTATCCAAGTGGTGGCTAAGCAATTCAACCATCCAAATCAAATTGATAAACCTATGTAGCCATAGTTAGGTAATAAAATTTTTAGAACATAAATAAATATAGAAAATTGCAAAAATGTAGAAAATGTTAAACACATTAATGGTATTATATTAAACAAATTAAAAATTAAGTGTAATAAATAATAATTATTTTTATTGTTAATGAAAATGAAATACATACTTTAGAATTGACCAAAAATGAAATTATTTTACTATTTGACAAAAATCAATAGTTCAACTTTTGGGTCAAATATATTAACATTTAATGTCATTAATAAATAATAAAAAAATAAAATATAAAAAAAAATGCCATCAAACTTCTAAGAGACTTCACCCCTTCCGACTTCCGTCATTTAGGATTTTTATTGATGATTTGGTGGGGAATGGGGATGGGATGTTCACATGAGAAAGCACTTCCTACACCTCAGATTGGAATCTTATTATACGAAAATCTAGAATTTTTGTCGATAAAAATATCCTTGCTGAATTCTCCGTATTGCCGAAAAGGCCCTAGGGTGATGATTAGAGGTGAGCATTATTCGGTTAAAACTGAAAAACCGAACCGAAAAATTTTGGTTTTGGTTTTGGTTTTGGTTTCGGTTTCGGTTTTCAAGTTTAGAAATTCAGTTAATCGAAAAAACCGAATTAGCCAAACTTTATTATCTATAATATATATATTAACATATAATATGTATAAAGTATATTATAGTATATTACGTATTAAAATGTATAATTTATTATATACATTGTATAATATATTTTTTAATATATGATATATATTAAAATATATACTACAATATATATTAAAATATATATAGTGTTGAAATTCGGTTTTAACCGAAATAACCGAAAATTTTGGTTTATTTCAGTTTCAGTTTCGGTTTTTCATTTAAATTTTTTATTTATCCGGCTTGGTTTTTAACCGAATAAACCGTTTGCTCACCCCTAGTGGTGATTGCTCATTTGGTGATGGTGAGTCTTCCACGGTTCCACCCACTTGTTGTTGCTAAACACCCCTAGTGCTACTGCCTACTGCTTTGAAATAGATCGAATTGGATCAGGATGGATATCGAAGCCAATCTCTTTTCTTCTTCATGACTAGGGAGTGCAATTTTCTCCGTCCCAACAGAGACCCAATTTCTCCTGCCTGATGGGGATTGCTTTGGCGGGGGGCGGAATGGGGATGGGGACGAGAATGGGGATTAATAGAAATCTCCAATAGGGGTCGGGGTTGAAAATGGGGATTGAGGTCCTTACCCCGCCCTGACCCTGATTATATATATTAAATATATATTAGTATATATATGATATTATTTATATTATTTACATTATTTATATTTAAAAATTTTTATTTATTTTAAATAAAT